GGGGGGGGGGGGGGGGGGGGGGGGGGGGGGGGGGGGGGGGGGGGGGGGGGGGGGGGGGGGGGGGGGGGGGGGGTGCTAAACGTTGAGTGATCCAAAGCAACGATCCTCAGGTTCCACGAGAGTGCAAGGAACGCAGCCGCCTGCAACCGGCCTGCAACCGCAATACCTACTTAAACAACCAACATCGTGCACATGGCGCCTGCTTTGTCACAACCTCATGGAAACCTCACAGCCCTTGCGTGGTCTCACGCACAAGACAAAAAAGAGTCACTGTCGCATCACGGTTGCCCACTGACCTCCTCCGTAGGAGCGAATGCTGCCTTGTGGAACATTCGAATCACCCCGGCAAGGACACCCTCCCCAAGACCCTTGCCATGCTTCCTCAAGTTCTCGTCGAGGTGGAACAGGCACAGCTGGTGCCGCGACCACGGGCACTCCTTCTGGATTGCCGCCATCGCAGCCGCATCAGCGTCAGTGAAGATCACCTACATTTCGCCACGAGTGTGACGGGCGCACATTACGGCAGGAAAGCGACACGGTGTGGGAAACATGCACTACGCGGTATCCGTGCACAGCAGTATGAATGACAACGCAAAACACAACCATAGAATATCCTGCGGTCCTCGAGTCTCACGGTGTACACTGCACATGGACACTTCGCTCACCTGTGGTTGCGCGCCCCCGATCATTTCTCTGAAGGCCCGGAAGAGGAAATCAAAGTCCTCCGTCCGCTCGCTCGCAAGCAGTGCCTGAAACACGATGTGGGTGTAGTTCTCCTTGTCCACAACCACGATCAGTGCCAGATGATACTTGTATCTGGTCGGAGCATAACCAAGAAATTGAGCGCACAACGGGCACGCGCATGTCTTGACGAACCCATTCTCAAAACGGTAGGAGAGCGACGCTTTCGTTTCGTACGTGAATGCTGAATCAAACCTGTCAAAAGCCGACACGTCTCAGACTTAGCACGCACAACACTCCTCTCACTTGTTGGTGTTGAAAGTGTTGTCCTGGATGATGAGTGGAAAGTACCGCAGTGCCGTCGTCCTCTGCGACTCCAGCGCCCAGGCGACGCGGTTGATGCACCCCTTCTCGTCCATAGTGAACCGCATCCAGCACCGTTCCTGCTGGAGCCGTAGCAACAACTCCTGCGCGTCGTTCGCCCCTCCAAGGGCTCTGTCTCGGTCTTGGCCAAATCGCGTTATCATGGTTCTTATCTACGGCGAGAATACACGCAGTGCCGGGCCGAGGTAGTACGGTGACATTATCGTAAAGTTCATGACCAAGCGACCCCTACTTGTGCTGATATCACACGTGCGCGCAACTCGAGGGCGACCAAACGAGGACTCCTTCCACGGGATGCCGGTGGGATCCGAACGTAATACCTCCACGCCAAGCCGCAAAACTACAGCGCTGAGCACGCGTTACGTCCGGGGTCTATCCTCACCCACTTACCTGCTGCTTCCCTCTCGGTCCCAGAACCATCCCATCGCGCTCAACAGTCTTGTGAATAGCCCTCGTGTCATTGTGTTGAAAGTACATCAGGCGAATCAAATCCTCTTGCTCTTGGACCATCTCGTGTGTCATCTCATTGGCCATCTCTCGTGGGCGCTCGTGCTCCACGCTGCCATCCTCTGAGCCTACTTTGTGGTGCAGACACAACGAGGTCTGAGCCGTTCGGATTGAACACGCGACAGATCCATGTTCGGCAAAGCAGGGGGAACGGAGGGGCGACCGAACAAGGGTGACATAATGATTAGGGACATCGAGTAAAAAAAATGGGTTGCAGCAACATGCGCTGCTGCACTTTCACCACGAGCGACACCACCGCGAGCGACAGCACGCATGCAACCAGTGGGCGATGGCTGCGGATAGCGGTCACCGATACGCCAACTCTATACGGAAGTAGACTCACCGTTGAAAGGATAGGACCGGCAGCGTTTCCTGCCCAGTTGAACGCTCCAATAAAGCCGCAATTAATCTAGACTCCGCACAACACACGGCGGGCAAAATGCGCAGTCACGGAGTTGGGGAGGGGTTCGGAATCTGTCAGGACACGGGCAGCATCGGTGTCTTTCAAACAACGCTAACGAGCACATCTTCTACTCAACAAGCTTCGGCATGAAAACCATACACGTCTTTTGGGAGCGCGATATATCAGGAAGACGACAGCGAGGACGGGTGTCTGCCGTGAAGCTGGTACAAGGAACGAACAACATCTTACAATGGATGGCGCATAAGACTGCCGTTTCGCAAATCCAGGACAGGTTTCTTCCTGTACGAAATACTTGGCGAGCGCACCTGTTCCTTCACCACCATCAACAAAAACACTTTTACCACTGCATACATCGACACGCACGCAGAGGTACGTGCTACGTGCATACGCTGCTCCGGGCAGAAGGAGCAATTTAGGCATACAACTACAGCAGAAGATCAGGTTTTCATCAGACGCAAGTGCCACAGTGCAAGTGCCACAATGCTATGCATGCGTATATTGGTGCAGCGCAGACGATGTTTTGTCGTCCATCGGCGACCAGACCAAGGAAAAGCACAGAGGCGACTACGCTGCGTACCTCTCCAATCCACTTCTCTACAGAGCGCACGGCGATATTGGACGGGAGTCCGTTTAACTGCTGTGGGGCGCTCAACACGAATCACTTCGAATCTTCATAACAAAACCTTCTTCGTTGAAGTGTTCTTGTTCGTTTTCTTCACGGGAGCGTCGGCTGGGCCCGTCAGACCCCGTTTGTCTGGCTTCCCGCCTTGTTCACAGATGATGTGGACGGTCCTCCACCTGTTTTTCTGGAGCCGATTTGGGTTCGCATTTTCAGAATAAAGCTGGGAAGACAGCGGAAGACAGAGGGAACGAATTGTAGAGACGGAATTTCCGATGTCAGGAGTGGGGGACATGCAGACATGCGATGATAGACAGCACGGTGCGTGCCCGTGGCGGGTACATGGACCTTCAGCGTGCCACTGTTCACTGAAGGACGGGACAGGCCGCGCGTGCTCGCGTGGTCAGGGCGCACGCAAAGCCAAAGGTCGCAGCAGTTCTCACACTTTTCAAGCCTACCGTTACTTTGTTTCGGCGTTTCAGGTGGTATCCGTGGCCGACACACGCGATGAACATGTCCACGGCGTTCTCCCATGTCGCCTCGCCAAAGGCCTGCCCCGCTTCGTCTTCAAGGCAGGGGAACGTCATCTTCAAAAGCTCCTCCCTTAGCCGCGACATCCCCGCTGTACATGACAAAATCAACCGGAAAGAGGGGGACGATCCACTATTTGAAGGTAAACGAGAGGGCCGATGAAGCCTACCTTGTCGCTTGTACAAAGAAGAAAATGAAACAAACAGAGGATCACGTATCATGTACCCTACTACATAGCAACCGACAGCAAGCGACGACGTTGTGTTTTTCGCAAGCTGACACCACATGCGGCCGGCGCCTCAGCAAAATGCGTCACTCCTTCACGACTACTGCTGTCGGCATGTCATATACGCCGGTCATTACTGCCATGTCATTATACTGCTTTCTACGTCACCTTCGGATCTATCGAACTCGGCTGCCGGCACGTCGCCTTCGGGAGATGGACGCGAGGCGCTCGCGTCCTCGTCGACACCATCGTGTCTTCCGCCGTTAGTGCTGTCCTCGCCCCGTGTTGCTGCTGAGTTGCCGTTGTAAGGCGCTGCCTCGTCATCTATCACCATAGGCGCATCAGTATCACTCCACGTCAAGCCTAGCGAGGTCGTGGGTGCACCACTTTCATCCGAGACTGCACTCGACGCTGCTGTGGCTAACGAGGTGGTCACCGGGGCGCCACTATCGCCCGTCTCGCAAGGCGGCAACGAAGCCGAGCTCGGAAGGCTGGCAGCAGCACGTGCAGCAGCACTTGCAGCTGCATCCATGCTACTGGCGGTGCCCAGCCTCGTAGATCCCTTGGGGTTAACCACTACGGGTCCGCTGCTAAGTGCTGCTTCGTATTAGCCTTTGGAAAGAGGGAAGAGCTGTAACCCTTTTTTGAAATTGATATCTTAGCGCCCTCATCCGCAGCGGCAGCAGACCAGCTACGCCACGCCGCTCCCGACGCACCAACGGTCGCCACCGGCGCAGAGCACTCGGCAACAGTCTCCATGATCCGCTTCTGGATTGGCCGTACCTCCGGGTTTTTTTTTTCCAGCGGTGTGAAGCGGTGTCGCGAAAGGCTGTCGCGTGCGTAGCCTGGCTGGCTGTGCCCAGGCCGGTGGCTGTGCGTAGGATGGCTGCGTACTGCGTACACAGCTGTACTTGCTGTGCTTACCCTTTTTTGAAATTGATATCTGGTTCTGTAAGTAGGTTCTGCAGGCGTTTTTCGTGTTGGCACGGAATTCGTTCCTGCNGTTTAGAGGGATCGTGTGTGGAGTGTGGAGTATGTGCGTACGAGAAAAAGAATAATTTTCATGCCCAGGGGCGTGAAAATTTACTCCATGGCTGTCTGTCTGGTGTCTGTCTGGTGTCTGGTCTGTCTGCGCGCCCTAAATACCCAGCAGACTCGAGCCCATTTCACCATCTCGGCACCAAATTGCAAACTAAAACTTGCGCACAA